TTTATCATACATTTACAGACATTTCTGAAACTGAGAGACGGGTGTGGTGCTCTTAAGACTTGGCATTGATGTCTCCGTTTGTAGCGACAATTCCAGAATGTCACGAGTGCACATTAATTTCAGTGTGGTTTTTGCAAATTACCGACGTGGTCAATCAACACTGGCTGCGTGTTTAGTACTGTACTTAAAACCCGTGATGCGTTTAACAGGGAAGCAGTCTTAACCATTTGCCCACCATGCTTAGCTGCGGTCAACTATCAATAACTGGAGACAGAAATTTTGATTTTTGCGTCCAGGAGGGGTACTTTTCAACACTGGGTGCTGCCCGTTATTAACGTAATTACATAGGCCTAAGACAAAATTGATAAGCAACATAGTAAAAACATGTCGCCCAAAATTTACCATTTTCCGACCACACATCATTGAGCGATTACTGGTGTCGCTTGAAAACAGAAACAATTATCGTGTGAGTTTGTGTAGCGGGCACCAATATAGTGCATTATGGGACTTGCCCCGCTGATTACCAAGCCCAGAGGGACCCTTCTTCGCCCTTCAGTTCTCAACTTGGCGGTTCTCATGCCAGCAGGGGGTGATTAGACTTTTTGGTGGAGGCGCCGTTGGATACTCTAGCGCTACAGTTTCAAAAACAAAAACAGTTTAGAGGGGAATTGTGTTTACCTACGCGCTGTGTGTACTTGTACGTCGCCCTGTCCCACTAAGGTGAAAATATTGACTTAGGCTATTTGGCGTTATTGTCTTAAGTAGCCCCCTCCCTCGACTTCAATGAGTTTGTGACAAATTATTAATTTATTTTTTGACATCTATTCTGTACGATGTTTTGATATTTCGGCCTTCCCATATAGCAATTCTTTTTTTAAATATGTATATGTAATTATCTGCATTTTTTTAGAAATCAAGCTCACATATTTTCTTATGGAATAAGCAGGACAATTGAATTGATAATAATTCATTTGTCTTTTCAAGTCATTTTTCAAATAGTGAATCGTTTGGACGACAGTACTTTTCAGCCTTTTGTTCCACAACGCCCTGCAAGAGCAGATATTATTGTTTTCGTCGGAAAAGGGAAAGAAATTGTAACGGCTGTATTCCGCAAAAGGTTTCTACAGGATTTCCTGCAATATTTCAAGATATTACAAGAAAATGCACAATAGACGTTTTATTTGCACAATTCGTTTTGAAAGCATTGACATTTATCTGTTCTCAACCTTTTTTGTTCTGAGGTTGTCAACACAGGAGTCTACATGAGTATCACCGAGAAATGTATGCCTGGGTGTAATCAGGACATATCCATGTATGGGCCTATACTTCAAGTACTTTTAGAGTACATGCCCTTTAATTTTGAATCAATCTCAAGCAGTTAAGAACTGCTTTTAAATGTTATTAGAATTCGTTACCAATTTTAGCATCTTTGAAGACAGTCAGTCATAAACAACCCAGCCCCCCCTTACGTTACTGGAGGTGAATTGTGACCTTTTTAGGTTTGGCGCCTGGGAAGGTCAAGACTCGGATTGAGGCACAAACACGTCGGCTCGGCTGTCGGCTCACGGCAATGACACCTAGGTTGAGGAACGATGGCAGCTGGTACTCTGCCGTCACGCTGGTACCTGCTCAGGTGAATCATCGCCAATCCGTCGATATACTTGAATATCCGTGTCGACTCATACAGCATCAACTTCATAAACTTAATGATCAAGTCAGCCGCGTGAGAAAAGAAAATATGACTGGAGATAATACATTTCGGTGAAAAGAAAAGAGGATAAAGTGGTAAATTCAGAACGCGACTTAGTTTTATGTGTGCTGTGCAAGCTATTTTCTAATATCTTGGTGTCTTTTTCTTTGGTCTGTTTAAAATTTCTGTCATCTCTCGCTCAGTTGCGTCCCTGAAACTTTGGAAGAAGCCCGACTGTTGTGGATTTCCCTGAAAGGAATTCAAATCCCATAGATTGATTGCACGATTTTCTTAACGACTGGAAGTTTAGAGAATCACTGGCGAACATAATGCCTTCCTCAAGCTTGGAGCCACGTTTAAAATTTGGAAGACAAGAGAGAGACTCATGTTGTTTGATATTGAACCAAACTCATCCAGTGTCCCCCTGTAGAAACGAAGGAGAGTAGGCCCCCTACCCCTTACAAATTGAGCTCTGATCTTGGGGGAATCGACACACCGTCTGGTGCCCCATCGCCCGTCTCCTCTCGCAAGGGCGGCACCCCGCTGAGCTCCCGCTCGCATCTCTCTCCCTCGAGACAACCTTGAGATCCCTTTGCCAAGTCTTTGAGTCAGAATTTCCCTTGACGCCGCGATATCGGTGTAGCATTTGTCGCACTGAAAGACGTGGGCTTGCAGGGTAGGATCATCCTGCGCAATTCCATGAGGACACTCCCCTACGATTATCGACAGAACTCTCAGGGAAAGGCTGGCCACATTGAGGCGACGCGTAGAAAGGCGCGAGCGTGCGGTAAGCCACGGTGTGGTTTATCTAACACGATAATCGTGATGAATACATCGCGAAGGTCAAGAATGATGGGACAGATTGGGAAACATTAGTCGAATCACGAGGTTGGTCAGATGTTAGACTTTGGTGAGAGCCACCACTATGCGTCCGTTTGATTGGTAATTACTCCTATTAATACCATGTCAGGAAACGATCTCCCAGTGGTAATGCGCGCGTCATAATTGCTTTTTAACCAAGAGGGATTCACTTAAAGCTATTGAAATTGGTTATGATTTATGATAAAAATCATGGTACCTCGCTCATGATCAATGTCCCCCAACTTGCAGATTCAGGGGAAGTTGTCGGTAGGCCTAAGCGAAGTCGTATGATTGTGGTTTGATCCACGACAACTCCAAGCAAGTACTCCACGATACTTTCCCATAATTATGCACACGCATGTCCGGGGCAGACGGCATGCACGTTCGCTTATCAGGGTGCTTTTTGGAGCGAAAACAGTACCGCCTACTACACACAATTACAAACAAATGCCCCTGAAATGCTTAGTGAAGTTGTTAAGCAAGACACCTGCGACAGTTGAGCAGGAGGGATTAAGGGTGATGCGCCTCCTCCGGGCAAAGGGTGCCATAGCTCACCGTCAAGGTCAGACTCATTTCCCCGCTGAATATAGATCATATCCGCTCATTTGCCCAAATTGTGAGCCTTTGGCGAGTTAGTGGAACCCAGCCAGCGTGAGGAAGTTGTAACCGCGAAATGTCACTCGCGAATAACTGAATGGAGGTCTCGTAGAATGACCTTAAAAGGCAGGACGGAATTCCACTGTAAACCCTTTGGAAAACGTTATTCATACTTATGCTCGATTTTTTTTAATGAAAACCTCAAAACGCTCAGCAAAAGATGGATAAAATCGACACATAAAATATGCATTTGTTTGCTTTGTACATTTCTGTAGCATTACGTTATGTTACTGGCCCATTCTTCAACCCTTTACACGTAGACGTGTAACTTTCTTTCTTTTTTCTATTTTCACTAACATGTATATACTTTTTGTCTTGGGGTTCAACGCACTTTTTGTAGTGATTAAATCGACGGCAACAGGAGAACTAAACTCAAAGAATAAGTATCATGCGGGCACTGCCAGCGAGAAGTGTCCTTTAAAGAACACTCACAAAAAATCAAAGCGAAAACAATTTCAAAGTTTGGACAACCTGTATGGTATGAAACTGCGTACAAATCCCAATGGTAATTGAGAATGAGATATAAATACATGTATATAATTAATCATTTTGTAAGGATGCTAGATTAGAAATATTTTATGTTAGACTCATACGAATTCCCTTTTTTTTTTTTTGGTCTGTCGCTTTGTGAAATCATATATCTGACGCAAGTTTAAAGTCATGTTTTCCTGGAAATACGATAATCGCACGAGTTCCCAAAACAACGCGATAGCAAAGAGGGCGAGAAACGACATGAGTGACTTCATTAAATGATGTTTAATGAAATGATGTGACGGCATCTTTCTCTGTTTAGAGGCTCAAAAATCAACGAAATGATTACAGTCTCCAACAATCCTGCAGGACTGGGGGGGGGGTCGTGCGCGAATGAAAAAGACGCAAATTCGGCAACTGACCAAAGTAAGCAACTCGGCTTGGCAACATTTTCGGTTTGACACTCCGGTACGTAAAGAAAAAATGCTGTCAACCTTGGGTTGGCTCTATTGTCTGAGTCACAGGTAATTTGCATTATTACATCAGTGCCGTCCCAGTGGCGGGAGACTTACCCGCAAGGATCTCATCACTCGTCGCCTCCGAACCGGTTAATTCCCCAGGATTTATTCCTAACAAATTCGTTGTTTTTCGTCTATAATTACGGGTGGCTTTCACGCGCCCGGCAACAAACGGCCATGGAGAAAAAAATGTCCTGTCATACTGGAGAACACCTGGAATTCAACGATTTCTCTCAGTCTTTCCGAGGTAACTTAGGCGTTCAAGAATTTTTAAAATAGTTGCGTGGGTGAAAGAAAAAAAATACTGGGGAGCGGTTTGCTCATTTCACTTTCCAGCTCTCGACAAAATTTACCCGACAATTTTAGTTGAAGTTCATTGTGAGGTCAACTGAGGAATAGTATTAATGATTAAAAGGTGCTAGTGTCAGGTTTTGCAGGTTTCTCAAATTAAACCAAATTGAATTGTTACAGTATAACTGGCTTTTTGCCATGAATATGTCTACAAAGATGGGAAAGGTCTGGTAAAAACTAAATGGTCGGCAGTAGGTCTACCGTCCAAAATTACCACTAGCGTATTGTGTTATACAAGTAATGTAATGTCATAACCCAAACCGGAAAAAAAAAGCAGAGTAGAGTAGCACAATTTCGGTTTCTCATCAATATGAATATCTGCAGCTGTTACAAATTGGTTTTCTTGAAAAGCCTCTCATTCTGTATTGCATATGCTAAAATGACTGTGTCTCTTTTCTTAATTGTCTCTGGTATTTGGTGGAAATTATCAGCAATGGAAGAAACTGGCTTACCTCGCGTCATCATGACGTTGGTGTAGGGATTGCCGTTTTTCGTCTGCAAATTGGAACAGTTCCATCGCTGGTCCCTCATCTGGTTGGCGCACTCGTCCACGGCAATCCGTATGCCGCTGATGGCCGATGCCACGACGTCGGGAGCCCGTCGGCACTGCTGCAGCTGCTTGCGCGTCAGACCGGGAAACGATCGGCAGATCGTCCTGGACGACCGGGAGAGCTCGCCGTTAGCCCCACCACCGCTGCCGTCCAAGCTGCTTCCGGGTCGGTTATCGGCCAGCGATTGCTTGGACATGTCGTTACTGGTGTAAATAGCGCTTGCCCCATTCCCATCCCGTCTGCAAGAGGTAATATAGTTATAAAACATATGACGTAATTTCAAGAATTCCCTAGAGAAGGCCATGGTTTGAAAATAAACATAAGGTAACAGGGCTAAAACTTGGCAATTTGTATTGCATTTCTAACAATATACCGAATCCGGCGAAGATGGAGGTTTCTGCATGCTAACTAAACTCGTGACTGAAAATTGTAAATTGATAAATAGATTGAAAATGTTTGCTTCAGAGTAATACAATATTTGTTCTTAATATGAGTAATTGGGATTCAGGAGGAAGCGTTAACTTTAACGGATTTCCTTGGAAGCATGCCCCCGGAACCCCTGAAATGGTTTTCTTTCGATCTTATAGCTGCCTCTCGAAAAATGCAGATCTACCTCTGCCAAATTAATTATGTGAGATAAAGATTCATGGTGTGTGGTTGTAATGAATGACGGTAACTTGGTTACTTGTTTAGGGTCTTAACCCATATTTTTAAAAATTACGTTTTCCTACGATAGCCTTTCTGTAAAATATTTCAACGAATAAACCTCGACTCTCTGTACAAGACACACACCAGTGGTGCGTTTTTAGTAATAACATAAACCGTAACCAAGCCTCATAGTAAATGTACAATTTTCCTTTGTAATACGAATTAACATCAATTTGCATAATAACCCAGGTGCATAAAAACTACTTCTGTGAAGCTGGTTTTGCCATTTCTCTTGATAACGGGTTCATGCTTTTGTAGATAAAGTGTTTTATTTGACGTAATCTAATACGTCAAAAATTAAGAGCTGCCCTAATAAAATTGAAGAAATCGATGCACATACATACCGGTTGAGTTCACTATCAAGACAAGTTGGAGGGCAACCGTGATCAAATCAAGAAATACACTGAACCTAGGTTTTGCCTCCCGCTATAACCTGGCAACATTACACTTCTCCTTTAAATATGACATAATTATTTCACTGCTATTATACACAGCTAAAACCCTGCTCAGGTTCTTTGTAAACTTACAGAGGAGTATCTAATGCATGATCGCACGATGTGACAATTTCTGGTACAAATGGTTCTATAGAAACGATATTACATAAATGAAGAGTTAACCATCTCAACAGAGAGAAGATACACATGTACTAAGATGCTATAAATTCACAAATTTATTGTCACCCACCACAGGCGCAAGTCCTGGGGGAGGGTTGTGGGGGCAACCCCCCCCCTGCCATTTTTAGGGGCCTAAGTAAAACATAGAAGACCGCCTAACAAGCATAAACCATATACGGGTCCTTTTTTGCACGTACGGTTAAAAGACAAAACAAAGAGAGAAATGGCTTCACGAATAATGACACTATGTAGTTACCCCCCCCCCCAACGAAAAAATTCCCGAGCCGCCCCCCAGCAAAAAAAATCCTTGATCCACCACTGCATCATGAACATTTCAGATATCAAGTAACCAACTATTTCATTGAGTTGGCACGACGGTAGGCTACGTTAGCTCCCCTCTCCTTGGTCAAAGCTTGCCCCTCCCCTTGCAGAATTTAAATGAGACGCAGCCAAGGGATCTGTATTTCATGTAACTGCAGCCAAAGCGATGACATGAGTACCCTTCGCAACTTGGACGTTTATTTCTGCCCCCCAAAAAGTCGTGAGTTCGAGTCCCATTCGAGCAAGTTTGAGCTCTGTCGGTTGGGTTCTTACCCTGAGAAAAGAGCCAACATCTTCAAACACACAAACGGCCACACTCATGGAAATAACAACCAACAAACAAATAGCCGATTTTTACTTGGAGGCAGACCTGCTTTCTTGGAGAGGCGGTTTCAATTTGCAGATATGAAATTGCGAACTTGTCCATTTGGAATCATCCTTTTAAAGAGCCCTGCATGTTTACGTTTAGTGTTCAGGGCGAGTTTAACACCATGGTTTGTCTTTAGGACTGCTGACTGACAAGTAAATCATATAGACCACAATACGTAAGAACAATGGAAATGTTAAGAAGATACCGAGTTTATTCTGTTCGTTTTCAATCCTGACATCTTAGAGATAGACACAGTAATTATCTACGCAGATTGGGGCGTGGGATAATTTACTCTACACATATATGAGCTTTCTGAAGGCATCAAAAATACTTCAGGAGAATCAATCAATACAGCCTCCCTGCACAGCACCCCCTTTCCTCCGAGATTGCTGCCCATGGTTCCATTTAAGCCTTAATCTGATCATTTTGTGATGGCAAGTTGGGTGGCGTAGAGTGTTTCTCTTGTGGTCATCGCTTGCCACACCTTTTGAGCCATACGTTTCGTGTGAAAATTGCTTTAGATGCATATTTTTGGATGCTGACGAAGTAGCAAAGTCTTATCCCTCAGGAGGAAACTACTCCTGGTGGACGTCAATGCATCCTGACTGAGGCGTCACGGTGTTACCATTGGCTACCGTATTTTCTCTCGTATAAACGCCCTCATCTGACGACGGCTATTTACATTCTTCTCCGAATTTATGCTTTTGGGTTTTCAAGTAGTACATGTACTGGCTAAAAAATCAATAGGCCGTATGCTCACATTAATTTGCGCAATTATGAAATTCAATGTTTAGAGTTTAACAACCGAAAGTTATCCTGAAAATGCTGACCTGCCTCTCTCTTCATAAGACTTGCACCCCCCCCAAAAAAAGACAGTATCAACACCTCGACCAACGAAGGCTACATTTCCTGCAGACTACACTTAAGTTGGTTTCGATGTCATCGTCAGGGGTTACATTTTCACGAAAAGCTAGCTAGCAAACAAAATAAAAGCACTGTTGAGGAGCGTAGAAAATGGAAGGTAAAGAAAGTTCCATCTCATCAATCTGAGTTATTATTCTTACGATTGTACTTCGGCCAATTTGAACTAATAGTAATTACAATTCCATATGGACTGTCCAACAAATACGATAAAATAATGCCTGGCCGTAATCAAGAAACCTCCCACCAAAACAAAACACAGCCTGACTGGGAACACAAAAGCTGTTTTGATCGTAATACACTCAGTAATTAGGCCTTGTTTGGCAATGTGCGGGTGGCATTTAATACCGTAACATAGAAATGGCACTATAGCCTTGTTTTATTGACACGTGGCGCGCCGCTCTGGGACGCGATAGTTCCCCCTGGCTCTCGTCCCTCGAACTTGTTTTCCTCTCTGAAAAAATACCCTCTTTCATCGAGGCCAAGAAAAACACCTTGTAATAATTACAAAAAGAAAATACAAAACCTTAAAATTAAGAGTACCTTGTAAAAGTTATGACAGGTTTGTTCAAAATGGAATTTAAGAAATGGGAATCCTGTGGGAATAGCATCACCTGTCAATGGGGGTTCCCCATAGCGATGGAAACTATGGATTAGATGGCGATTGGCCTACCTTAGCGTGCTGAGGCTCACCAAGATCACAAGCGCGCACCTCACTGCGGCCGGCCAGCACATGTTACCGCGGAGATAGTGCCGCGCCACCCGCTGAATCAAGACGAAACTCCCGATTACGTCAACTGGAATATCCGCTACTCGGAGTGGTCTCTCAGAACAGGTTCCACACTCACCGTGGGGGTTTTTACAACATACGTAGCAGTTAGAAAAGAACACTCGGTAAGTTTTTGAGTTTGAAGTCTTGGAATGAGTGATGTATAGCCGGCTAGGCCTTTTATACGATCCCCAATCCACTAAATCTAGCTGAGTTATGTTTTATTCTCGTGGAGTAGTTATTCCGTGGACGTTTTTATGTGACACCTGATGTTTACCCGGTGACAGTGTTATTTCCGTACTCAACTTGCGGACTGCAGATTGGAAGACCTACTTTCAAGGGAAAAAAAGTCAAGTCGACGGGTCGATTTTTCCCTTTCGATAAAGTACAGAGGTGAGTTTAAAAACCGCAAACTCGTCATCAGCGAGTAAACCTACAGTCGTGTAGTCTTGAAGAGAAATGTTACAGATCCCGTGCTGCGTGTAGGACTGAGGGATGCGAATGATGGAGGCTGATCTTGACGACGAGATGGTCAGGCGATGATGATGGGTTGAGGATCGACGTCAGTCTGTCAGACGACGTCAAGTTGCGAGAGTCTGCAAACTCTGACAAAGTGACGTGAGTGGAAAGACCTGCAAAAAATGGTCACCTTATCGAGAATGACCTAGGTTTGGTAGGTTATCGCTGCCCTGCCGCCAAAGTTCTCGATCGCATGCGGTGTTTTCACTGGACATCCAACAAGACTCCAATCACATTCAGTCTTCTTAGATCACAGTTCTGTAGCCGACGACAAACACTGTTGAAGAGAGGAAACTTAACTTCTACCTCCAAGCTACGGACTCGTGCCGGTGGTTGGCGTGATTTCCTCTTACTAATGTTCTCTTTCCTCCACAGACTCCGTGAGCGTGATTGGCACTTGTATCTATTGGAGTTTAGCGGGTCTCGAGGGCGGGTTTCTGCCCAGCCCACACGCCGGGCGGAGCGATGCAGCCCCGGGGCTCGTTCAGTCAGTACCACCGCCGGCCAGCATGGGATCTTGTTCTTCGGGCGAAGAATCCATTTCAAAATATAATTCCTCGGAAGGTGAGGCGAGCCGTTGCCAAATAACACTTTATAGAAAAAAATTCCCTGCTGAAAGAAGCGCGGCGATGTTATTTACCCAGCACAGCTGGTAGTCTAATGGGAAGAGTCAAGGTAGTAACAGTCAGCCCTCCTAGCTGTTGCCAGTAGAAATTTACCAACATTTGTTTTGGCTGTTTGCCCCTTGCGGTGTCCCAAATGATCTTGGTGATGAGTTGCAACAGTAGACAAGCTCACGGACGTAAAGCATGCCTTCACCCACCGGCACGTGAGAGAGAAAAAAAGTGCACGCCGCAAGATTAGTACGCCAACTTGACACTCTAACAGCAGTCACACGCGGCTGCGAAGCAAAGTCTCCAACTGACCGATATGATTCGACAGATCCCACACCGACGGGGAAATTCAATGTACAGTCGGCAACACCGCTGATTATAAAACCTTTTAATTAGGTGAAAAACCGCCGCCTTGAAGTGAACAGTCGGCAGCTCCTTAAAAACCTCCTCGAGATCATTCAATGTTCCCCGCGATCGCCTTTTTAGGGCCGTGGCTATACGACCACAACGAACTGCCTCTTTTGTTGTAACCCCTTCTTGTTGGTAAAGCGTCCACAATGCAGAGAGGGGGAATTGCCAGGTTTTTTTCTGAGTTGTATTCGTTTGCTACTCTCCCCGATGAGTCAGAGTGCTTGTAGCCTGCACGTCTCGGGCGGTCTCATCCACTTTAGCTATATACGCCTCGTCTTATCAGTCAAGATAATGACAAATTTATACTGCCATACTAGCAGACCGACATCTTTGATGAATTCCCCTGAAGTTTCAGATGAAGAAGTTGATCCCACTTAGTGATGTCATCGAAACGTGGGGATTCCCCAAATGAAATTGAAACTCTTAAACTGCAAATATAGGAAATGAAGAGAGGACATTTCCATGTCAGGCGTCTCGGTTTAAACCTTAGGTTCTCTTCAAATGTTGCTGATGTTAACACATTTGTCAGCGTAGTATCAGTCGCGGACTACATTGATATCGCACTACAACGCGTATGACATTGTGGAGTCGTGGTTCATTCGACGTAACATTTGAGTCAACTTTTTCATGGCAAGTTTTACTCGATAACAAATGGTGGATGTTCTTTCTTTTTTAAAAATATTGTCGTCCTTTTGCAACTGTAAAAATACCCTCAGCTCTTGTACTAAACCGTCTTCTTACCTTCAGCCTTTCCAATATTCCAACTGCCGTGCATCGGAGAGGCGGGTTTGCCGACTGCTTGCAGCTTCTGTATTATTTCCGTCCTGGAGGCTCAGGTTCGAGTTCCACTCTTGCTTGGATAAACTCGTCAAAGACATGCACTTTTAAAAATAGTTTCAAAAACCTTTCGCACACAGAAAAAAATTGAAGATTTTTCTTAGCGTTAGTCATTATGTCAATTAATTGTTGACACACTTTGATAACTTGTTCCCCAATAATGGTCAACTTTTATCTGAAGTAACTATGGATTGGGAACATTTTATAACAGCTTTCTCCTTAAAGAAACTATTAACGTTATGACAATTTTTTTGAAGTGTACTAGAAGACAGAATTTTCTAACAACGTTTGGGAATGTCTTTTTACGCATGTTTTGTTCCGGTCATTATTCTGGATATGATGGAAATACGGAACATCTTTCTCATAATGAAAATGAACTCTCGCTACCACGTTTTTCGATGACGTTTATTTGGGGTGAACATGCGTCTTGGCAAACAGACGTTGGTTCCATTTCTAACCACTGCCTTATATGCATATATGTTAGACAATGTGCATGCGTGAGTAATTTGGCAATCCTATCGATGATACTTCTTTTTTAAGGAATGAAACAGATTCTGTACAAAATATAGTACCACTCATCACGGGCGACGGAAGATATTTCCGGGAGTGGCCAAAACATCTATTGGCAGAAAAGTTACATCATGGAAGGGATAAGTTCCGAGGTATTTTCAAGCAAGTTGGTTATTTTCAGCACCTTCAAGTCCTCTGCCTCCCCCCCTCGCAACGGCAATTGTCTCTCAGAGAGAAAACTGCCCAGTGACGTATATATCGAGGTGGAGTTGGTAGTAATCAGGTGTGAAATCTTGAAATGGGCTTCATATTTCCCTTTCAAAAAGTTGTTTTAACCCTCTGCCTTGTTCTGTTTCAATTTTCAGTTTTAGCTAACCTTGCCCCTGGATTTACCAATCGAAACAACCAATCGAAATGACGTACTGAAAACTGTTCAAGCTTTTCTGCCCAAGGAATAATAACGTAAACTTGGACAACTTATGCACTCTCGTGCTCACTCATATTTCACGTACAAACATTTTTATGTTAGTGACAATTTTTCCATCCGTCTCCTGTTTTAGCCCTGTCATATTTTTTGCCATTATTCCCGTTTTGGTTCCTGCAAAGAAGCTTAATTCGTTTTCAAACTTCCCTGAAAGCACACGAACGACGCAAGCGCGTGTAGTATATACTGACCGGCGCATGCGCGCAGGCTTTAATTAAAATACAGTTTTCCGTCACGTGTTTGTGCGACTACAGTCTAGACTGGAAGCAGCATCAGTGTGCAATAACTGGGTGTCTACGTTAAGAAAAATCGTGCCAACTATACTTTTTAGTCAGACATTGACGAATTTCATCTCAACCATTGGCAACTCTGTACATGAGGTCAAAATAATGACTGGTTTTCAAAAGTCACTGCTGTGCCGAGGATTAGTGGGTCCGGGTTCGGGGGCGGATTTTGTTGATTTAGGGAAGAATTTACACAGTGAGCTGAATATGGTTAAAACTTTTCGTTACACCCAACCAGCCTATATAGCTACAAATACACGTTAACGCAGAAACATATAAAGCGAGCAATTTCCAAGGATTAGAAACAAACAGGAAATCACAGTCCACGTGATTAATCTGCAAAAAAAAAAAAAAAGAAGTCATCCAGTCTTCATCCATTCCTTCTCTCTTTCTTCCTGTTGTGTCTTTTATTCTTTTAATTGAATTGTTCGCTACAACGACGCATTCACGTCTATACTGAAAAGTAACTAGTTGGACAGTTGGCTCACATTACGCGTCAGCATCGCTGTTTTACGGGCTTGTTTAGAGTCCAATAAAAGGCGGGTGGAGTATAACACCTAGGAACACCCACAGAGGTTTCGGGAACAAACAACAACACACTCGCAGTGACATTCTCTGTTACCTGAAGTTTTTTTCATTCTAGGCCTGGTAAACTCACCAGATTGCCTTTGAGTCAATACTCATTCCAAATTATTCCACGCTTATTTAAACAACGAAATCGGCCTAATGCGGTCGTGTTTGACGCACTAAATACACATTAATATCTCTCATTGCACACAATGTGTCATCTTTAGCAAAATACCAGTAAATGAAAAAGGACGGTTCTTGATAAAGACAGAAAAGAGATAGATTTGAATACTCAATCTCTCTGACCCCCCCGGCAGGCATATGACACTCACACTGTTGACTCACTGGTGAGCAAATAATGATGGTTTTCTATTTAACAAGTGTCCTTCGTATGCGGAGCGGATCGCATGTATACATAACTTTAAAACAAACATCCATCAAAAACAAAAAGGAGAAAGGTTATTTAGGACTTCCACGATATTCAAGACATATTAAATGAACACTTAACTTACCTTCTTTCTCTTTCTGATCAATTTTCTGTGGGTAAGTTGGATGACCTTTTGGGTGACATGCCCCCAAAGCCCATCGCCATTTTGAACAATGATGCCTTTATCCCAATGCGCAAGACACATTGCTGTACTCAGTTTTACCCTGAGAGGCCTGCTTTGGTTCACACTGGTAACTTTTACAAACCCTCAAATGCTTCAGCCACAAGTCCTCTAATGAGAGAGAAATTAAGAGCAAATTGTGGTTTATGGGCAATCCTAGGCCTCTGCACCATACGGGAGACCTATTTCCGCTCAAACCACGATTGAACTCCATACGAAGATGCACTCCAGAAAAAATTCCCAGTGATAAATCCCTATACTTCAAAATTCCTTTAAAAATGCAACTCTCACATGACATTGACATGTATTCGGGCCGCGCAGAAGAATGATGATCAACATGTCATCTCTCAGTTTCCTTTCAATTTTTAGTGGATTGACCAATGACCTTTTTCAAAAATTCTCAGCCAAAGCAGACCATTCTTAAAACGAACGATATTTCCCTAAATAGGAAAAGTAGCCATTTTGAACAAAAAAATCTGTAAAACGGCTTACTAGTGCCACTTTCGGACCTGATTGCATCCAAATTGCTCAGAACTGGAACTGGAGCAAAACAGGACGCGTTTGTGAATTTAAAATTTATGCGCGTTTGACGTGGAACACGCAGAGTACGCGCAACGAATTTATTCCGGAACGTAAGGTCTTTGGTTGTGATCATCTGTCTTTGTTTCGCCGATTTGGGGTGCAATTCAGATCAGGGCGGATATCCCACAGACATACAAACACATAGACGGGCAGCTCCTATTCAAAACAACGACGGGGTACCGTAGCGGAGACGGCACCCGACTAAATCCAAAAGCGTGGGCAAATTCACCCCTCGGTATAGGGAATTTACATGTCACACAGATGAATAATTCCAGCCAAAAAAATCTATGAAGCCATTTTTGGATTGTGAAAAAAATCTTCTGTTTACTTAATAAAGATTATAACCTCAAGATATTCTATAGTAGAGAGTCCTGAGAGCCATGGAATTGGAGAATTTAAGAAATATGGCACTGAACCTCTGGCCTAAATATCCCACAGACATAATATAAACGCATACTGAGACCGCAAGGTCCCACCGAGTTTTTGTGACCTGCTCGGCGCCCGACTAAAATCAAAACTATGAGCAAATTCACGCCTCATTATAGGGAATTTACGCACAGTTGAAGAATTCCAGCCATAAAATTCTACGAAGCCATTTTTGATTGTGAAAAAATTACTTAGTCTGATCTTTAACAATTCAAAACAATGCGGTTGCAACATGAAAAGAAGAGATAGCCGTAGGGCCTACCGAAGAGTCAAAAAGGTGAACGTATTTGGAAGCACGTATAAAAAAATGCAGGCAATGTAAGTGCTTTGCGCGAACGCGATGTCATCTCTCGCTTCGCCCATTGTTTGCCCATACTTTTCAAAATCACGGTTCAATTGGCGCATGACTGGCGGTCGTTTTTATAACACCTCACCCACAGATTCTGTATCTTGATTGGCCGAATGTGTGTCATGTGACGCTTGCTAGTTTTACTATTTTTATACCATCGCTTCAAAAAGACTATACCATGCATCCTCATTC